AGGCTCCCGCCCAGCGCTGGAAAAAGGTAAGTTTTTACCCTTTTCCCCTTCCAGAGCCGGGCGGGAGGGGGACCCTGAGGGTGGGGGCACCCTCAGGGCACTATAGTGCCAGGAAAACGAGTATGTTTTCCTGGCACTATAGTGGTCCTTTAACCCATTCACAAACATAGCAGTTTCTCTGAAACTGCTATGTTTATGAAAAAATGGGTTAACCCTAGCCGGACCTGGCACCCAGACCACTTCATTAAGCTGAAGTGGTCTGGGTGCCTAGAGTGGTCCTTTAAGTAAATAAGGCCTCATGCCCACCTTCAGTGTGCATTTACTAATGGGATTTTTTATTTGTATTATATTTATTTTTTTTAGCTGAATTTAAAGTTTTGTTTTTTGTTTTAACAGTTTATCCTCTACATTTTCTAATAACAGTGCTTGCCTCCCTGTTCTCCCTGTCATTGCTCGACTGATTAAATATGACTTGTATGCCTCTTGTGTGTTCACTATTAAAGCTCATTACCACATTGTGGCACTGCATCTATACTTATGTTTGACATCATAAAAAGAGGCAAAACCAGTAGCAATGTGTTTGGAGGCTAAAAGTATAGAGCTGATGTGGCTTTCTTTATTAACATGATAATATGTGAAAGGTTTACGTACTTCCTTGTTTATCCTTGGTTTCTTTTCTCTGAAGCATCATCCTTTTTCTAAAGTGGAAAAATGGCTTTTCGTATTATTAAATTGCATATATTAGTGTTTTCATTGAGATGATAGTTTTATTTGTATATGTATTTTGACATGTGTGTTTGAAGGAGTGAGTAACTGGGAAATATTTTCAGTCTTTTTTTTTTTTTTTGCAAGTGTGGAGAATCTATGAAATATTTTTCATTGAGATTTTTTAGTCTGGTGGTGGCTGCACCTATTCCAAGTGAAGGTCGTGCTGACCCTGACCACATATTGATTTTCTTTGGCATTTTAACTGCAAATAATTTTTTTTGAAATGTGCTGGGGTTTTCTCTTTGACCAGCACTGTATCGCCGCATGGGCTTTTCACTTTTTTTCTGGCCCCTGTTGTCTGCATATAATGTATAAAGCTGTGTTTTATTCTTAATTTTGTTTTCTTATCAGGAGAGTTGTGTATCAAGTTAGATTTTTACCTTAATATTGTCTTCTTTTATTTCTTTTCTTTATTTCTGGTTTTCTGTAAGTTAATTCAGCATTGAACTACTGAGACTCTTTACATGTTTGCCTTTGGCATTATTTACCTTGACTAATGATATAATTAGGGTTAAATCACTTATTTGTATCTTATAAAGCTAGTCTTTGATTTGCATGGGGAGGAATTCTGCTCATTTGTGTAGGCTTTACATGTCTGGATTATACTGGCTAAGTGATAGCAGTGGTTCCTATGTGTCTGATCCCTGATTATAACGTTGTTTGTGTGTAAGGGAAAGTTTCCAGCCATTGTGTAGACATGGATGATAGCACATATTTCAACTGATCGGTTTGTTTGCATTCTAGATCCCTGGTGCTCCTGATGAGGATGCTGTGAGAATATTTCTGGAATTTGAACGGGTGGAGTCCGCAATTAAAGGTAAATTGCATAGATTATATAAGGCCCCATTTGCTTGACAAGTTTCTGCGGGAGGGTTGGAATACTACTGTGGTGATTACACACTATTATTAATTGTTACACTCATTTGCTAAGGCTTGCAAATTGAATTGCAAAAGACAGATGACTCTTTTTCAAAAATTACTAATCTAATTTGCAGATGCCTGTCTTCTTAGTGGTGTGCCTACAGTATAATGTACACACATGCTAATTAAACTGTAGTTTAAGATCTAAATCATTTCAATGCAATATAGGTGGTCAAACAATAACTTTGGCACTTATGCCCATTTTTATTTATTGATTGTTTCAAAACCATGTAGAACACCTTCTGCCCATTTCATTCCATTACCATTGGTCAGTTTTACATTGGGTTGAGTTTTTCGTCCATGTTTCTAAATACAAAGTAAGTTTCAAATTTGAGAAGAAATTACCCAAACTGGGGAAAAAAGATTTGTCGGTCTCCAATTCAACTGTTTTGGCCTAAAAATTTTTATTCAGTTTGAATGCTTGACAATTCACATGCTCATGAATAGCCCTGTAATTGTGTATGAAATGAGATTGATCGTACAGTTAACACATTACTGAAGTAACCTGTAGACGTTAAATTAATTGCTTGGAGAATGTTTGTTTTCAACGTTCCTCTTCTTTTTTTCAAATCTTCACCAAGAAGATAATTCATATAAGTGCTTAGCTTATTACAGGCTTGCATAAGCAAATGGGTGTCTATTGCCTCTTACGTGTGTTTCTATAAAGGAATGAATCACCCAGGCCATGATACCTTTAAAGGACCACTCTAGGCACCCAGACCACTTCAGCTTAATGAAGTGGTCTGGGTGCCAGGTCCTTCTAGGCTTAACCCATTTTTTCATAATTATAGCAGTTTCAGAGAAACTGCTATAATTATGAATGGGTTAAGCCTTCCCCCTAATCCTCTAGTGGCTGTCTCATTGGCAGCCACTAGAGGCGCTTGCGTGCTTCTCACTGTGATTTTCACAGTGAGAGCACGCAAGCGTCCATAGGAAAGCATTGTAAATGCTTTCCTATGCGACGGGCTGAATGCGCGCGCAGCTCTTGCCGCGCGTGCGCATTCAGCCGGCGGGGCGGAACGGAGGCGGAGAGGAGGAGGAGAGCTCTCCGCCCAGCGCTGGAAAAAGGTAAGTTTAAACCCCTTTTCCCCTTCCAGAGCCGGGCGGGAGGGGGTCCCTGAGGGTGGGGGCACCCTCAGGGCACTATAGTGCCAGGAAAACGAGTATGTTTTCCTGGCACTATAGTGGTCCTTTAAGTAGCCAACAATGGGAGGAAAATGGGACAAATATGTTTTTATACAGTGTAACCCCTTTGTTGCTAGGCTGTTTTATATTTCTATGCTAAAACTACACATAGGCTTTTGCATTAACTGCATTTTAACACCCATATGTTAGTGTTCTTCGAGTAACTCTCGTATGTTATATGCAGAAAATACAGAATATTTTTTTTTTTTAATTGCTCTCATTTAAAAAAAATGTACTTTCGATTTAATTTCCTATAATGGGAACCACACCTTTGGCAAATATTGTTGATTGTGTCACTTTTCTGCATAACACAAGTATTGCAATTTTCATTTAATGTTGAGAATCTGCAATGTTTGCTAGGGAATTGTGTATTTAATTCAACACCTAATTTGTAAAACACTTGCTTACTCACAATTGAAAAAGTCTACTCATATTGTTGTCAGATAGGTATTACTTAGCTGCCCGTAGGTAATCTATTGTTGAACGGTATTACATTTTTGATTTATTGCATCTGATTATTCACTTGCTTCTGTTTCAGCTGTGGTTGATCTAAATGGAAGATATTTTGGTGGCAGAATAGTGAAGGCATCTTTCTACAACCTGGACAAATTCAGAACTTTGGATCTTGGCGAGTAACAAGAGATTGAGATCATTCTCTTGACAGATTGCCATGGGTTGTCTGTTTCAACCAAGTGGAAAGGACATCTCTAACTAACCCAGAGTGTGTAAAGTGGAGTGTGCCCTGCTCTCCTTTGATACACCCGGTTATATTTGTCACGTTTATTGTGATGAGCTTTTTTTCCCTTTGTTACTTTTCGTTTTATACCATAAAAGACTTTGTGAAAACACAACCTTGTCTTGCCCCCTTTTTGAAAGCTGTTTTCTTTTTTTTTTTTTCTTAACACGTGTTTACACCAATTATGCACTTGTTTCCCGAGCATTTGCTGAATGCTATTTATTATTGGGCTACATATATATTTCTGACAGTATCAAATCTGCACAGATGTATTTTAAGTTGTTGTTTTTTAATTGTGTCAAGTGTTTATCACTTTTTAATCTTTATGTAAAAAAAAAAAATATCCAAATTATAATTGGTTTTGTTTCCAATGGGCAAGACTTTTACACATCTGTTTACAATTATACATGTTTAAAGGGCAGACCATAATAGAGTTCAATATCCTAAACATCGCATAATCTGTTTAATATTTATAATTTTTTACTTTTTAAAACATAAACGGTTAATAATGATTTTCTGCACTTGGAATATTTTTTTTTCAACTTTTTTACCTCTTCCATAACTTTTATTCCATTTCTATTCCAAAAGTGGTTAATGAGATAACTGGAAAAAAAGTATGTGGAATTCAAATGGTCACTTGTTGATTTAAATGTCATGATGTTAAAGAGGAAGTTTTTGTAGTCTTAAAGTGGCTCTGTCACCTCAAACTTACCTTTCTCCTAATTTTTTCATTTCTCTTCTGCTTTCAGAATCTATTCTTCCTTTCTGAGCTTTTTCTTTTTAAAACATAAGACAACTTCAGGACTATCTCACAATATAAATACAATAGACCGCACACAGGGATGAGCCCCTATAGTCCATAGAAAAAATTAAATGGAAGATATGTAAAGTATGAAAAAAGTGCATATTTATTGGGATAAAAAAATGACATAAACCAATGGCATTAGATTGTCATGGCAGCCCTCATAGGTACTCAAGGGTTCAAGCAGGCATAATTTATTATACAGATGACATGTTGTCTCGAATAAATAGCATAGATATCCAAGCAAAAGAAACAAGCTTTGCAAAAATAGGACAGATTAATGAGAGGAATAGAAATTGTCACAATTCTTGCTACTGCCAGACAAGGGAGAGATCACCCACACCACTACCCGAAAAACAAGTGATGCAAGTACCCTGGACATGTTTCGCACCTCCATGATGCTTTCTCAACATGTAATGGTGTGGGTGGTCTCTCCCTTGTTTGGCAGTAGCAGGTATTGCGACAATTTGTTTTTTCTCTCATTCATCTGTCCTATTTTTGCAAAGCTTGTTTCTTTTGCTTGGATATATGCGCTGTTTATGGAGACAATATGTCATCTGTATAATATACTATGCTTGCTTGAACCCATCGAGTACCTATGAGGGCTGCCATGACAATCTAATGCCATTATTTTTTATATATGCCAATAAATGTGCACTTACTTTCTATATCCTCCATTTAATTTTTTTCTATGGACTAGAGGGGCTCAACCCTGTGTGTGGACTATTGTATTTTTATATTATGAGATATTTTCTATGATTGGGAAAAGTCCAGCACCAGGATCTAAACCCCATTAACCCATATATGATCTCAGGATTCCTATCTATGCACTAAGAATCTACCTGACACTAACGATACTACAGGTCTTGCTGCATCGTTTGTACTTGGGATTTTATATCTCCTCTTTTTCACATTTTCATGTTTCAACTTATTAACATAGGGGTTACTTTGTCTTATGTATTTTTTCCTACACTTGACAAATGGTGCAGCATAAGGTAAGCTCTACTATCTTGATAGGGAGTAGAGTTTGCCTAATGCCTTAAAAGGGACACTATAGTCATCAGAACAACTAAAGCTTAATGTAGTTGTACTGGTGTCTAAATCCTGTTCTTGCAGACTTTTTGCTGTAAACACTGCATTTTCAGAGAAAAGACAGTGTTTACATTAAAGCTTAGTGCTGTGCAGTGTACAGCACTGATGTTAAGCGCTAAACTTTCTCCAAATAGATGCATTGATTTGAATGCATCTTTATGAGGAGATGCTGTTCGGCTCCGTCCCGCCTCTTTGATGATCTCTGCCAATCCAATGGTTTTCCTGTGGGAAAACAATGGATTGGCTGACATTATCAATTCTGATAATGCCAGCCAAGGAGGCAAACCTGTTAAGGGGGAGCAAGTGAACTAAATGATGGTTTTAACGCTATAAGGTAAAGAATACATGTTTGTGTTCCTGACCCTTTCGTGTTCCTTTAAGCTCAACCCTTTGTTAAGATTTTCAACTGTAGGAAAAATACATAAGACAAAATAGCCCCTACTTTGTCTTATGTTTTAAAGAAACAGATCAGAAATGAAGAAAAGATTTCTTAAAGAGAAAAAGAAAAGGAAACAATAGAAGAAAGACACGTTTGAGGTGACGGACCCACTTGAAGGACAATAATGGATACAATTGTTGGATAACATTATTGCAGAGCCATGGTGCTTCATTTCTCATTTTCTTTGTGATTTTTGGGCTACAAATAAAACCTAACCTTTTCACCATGAAATACTTGTCTGTCAGGTGTTATAATGCAAGAAGCATTGGATACATTGCGGCCCGCTTTGGGATTTTGAGAGGCCCATTTGTGGGTTTTGTCGGAATGACCACAAGCTTAAGGGGTCCATGCACTTAGGGCCACCCAATGGCCATCTTTGATCAGGGTCTGGGAGAAAGTGAGAAAAAGTCCCCTCCTTCCAGCATACCAACGAACAACACTGCAGAGGGGAGGACCAGATAAGGGAGAGCCCGGAGTCTGGGCCTGACAACCTTCATTTCTAGACAGATGCCAATGGACCCCAGGGAAGCCCACCCCTTGCACCAAAAAGGTATGAAAGCAGGGAGGTGGCAAAATCCTGTAACTTGTGATCTTTGTGTGTATATGTGTTATCTGTATCTCTTTGTGTGTGTACATGTGCATACATCCCAGCAAACACCAAAACTACAGATACTAAACACAAGTACACCAATGTTCCCAAATAGCAACAGTACATACAAACGCATTCAAATGCCAACACTAAACACAAACACATACATACATTCAAACACACAAAACATGCTTAAAGTTGTCACTTTTTTTTTTTTTTTTTTTGCATTAAGAACGGTGTATTCATACAAATGTAATGCTCCTGAATAAATACTATAAGGTATGTAATGACTTCATAACTCTGCATTGCAGCCCTTGGGTAAATTTTGGTTTTTAATGTAGCTTAATTTGGCATAATCTGTACTATTTACAATCTGTTTATCTTTGAGTGTAAGTACTGTCGTGGTTGGCCTACATTGCCTACTTATAATTTAGTAGTTGACACAAATTCTACGGTTCATACCGATATTTTTTTAAACTAATCTGTATGATCTGATTCTTCTTGTCTTTGCCTAGTAATATCTGTGTTATTGGTTTCTACCTCTCCTGTAACTGATCATTACTGTATCAATTCATTTACATTTACAGTGTGAGGTATGGTTGTGAGTCTGATTTATGCAATATATAGCCATTGTTGCAGTGTTATAATAACACTCTCTTATTTCTCTACTAGGCTCTGCCTCTTTCTGACAGGCAGATATTGATTTGTTTCCTGTATCTACAGGTAAGTAGTTCACTAGACAAGAATGCATACAGACTCCCAGGCGCAACCAAGTCGCCAAACATTACACCACGGGATGTAATTCCCCACTGTACATCCTCCCAAGATAAAGGGCAGCTCTTGGCTGCACTGAGAGGCAAAACACCATTCCCATTCGAGAACTCACACTTATCTTTTTACCAAGACCTGACCGGGGATAACCTGCAATGGCATAAATGGTGCAAATTTCTTGTTTCTCCACTCATATCTAGTCAATACTGTCTCATTGATATCTTGTGTATTGAAAATTGCACCTTAAAAATAAAGAATTATAAAAAAAAAAGAGTAAATATCAATGTATCCAGTCCATTTGTAAATCAATAATGAAAGTATTGAACGGGCACTTTATTTTCATTGTGATAACATATTGGTATGAATGAACTATGCAATTAAAATGTAAAGAGTAAATTAAAAATTGGGAGGGGGCAAAGGAAGAAAAAAAAGGGGGGGGGGGTTGGGAGGGGAGTGCATTCATCCACAATAGCTTTTTTTTTTTTCAACTTAAATTCTAATGACAATAACCAATTCTTGTATACACAATACCTAGTTCAGATAATCGCGTAATAGAGTAACACTTTTTGTTGTCAAACATTTTTCCAAATACATTTCTTTATGCAAGCAATCAAAACCTATATTCTCTTTTAATCTTTGTTTCCCAAGTCATCAGTGCATATTTTGTTCATGTGTTTACATAAATTCGTTAACTAGCACTCTCATAAAATAAGATTAATATATTTTTACAACTAATGTAATTTATGGAACAATTTAGTATATGATAATAGGGTACGCAGATTTCTTTAGAACATGCAACAAAAAATGTACTTAGTACATATGACAAGACTTTAGTACTTTACGCATAGCAGTATACTAGGAAATTGTTTGAAAACAATCTTAATACAAGCCTAAATTAAACAAACCGTTAATGGGCAGTGACAAGTTCTTGCACAACTTAGAAACATTTAAGTGCTGATCATGTAGAAACTATAAATGAGATTTACAAACTGGAATATCCAGAACTGACATTGGTAGGAAGATGCTTATTATAGATAATGTAAACCCTAGTCATAAGTCTTATTTTTTAAGAAGAAGATTAGGCTAAAAAAAAA